AAATATTTTCCCTCCACATCATTTTCGGTAACCGCTTACGTATATTTTTTATATACAAGTAACAAAATCCTTAACTATTATGCCACTTTCTCAAAAAATGATTGACGAATAAAGTGACATGATGGATGTTGGCAAAATGTTATTAGATAAAAAATTTGATTGTGTTTAAAGCAGTCCAGTGATAAAATGTTACGTGGCATTATGTGAACCATTATGTCAAGGATTATGTTACTACAACCTGATTGTAATTATTAAAAACTATGAAGTATTTGTTCACATTATAATCTTCTATTGATTAAGAAAGGAATTGCAGGTTGAGTAGGAAATTTGATGAAGTATTGGGTCCCATTTTTATTACAAGTGTCATCGTGATATTACGAGGGTATATAATACAAAAATACTATGATTTATGTGTCTGTGGAGGCTGTGCATTGACACATGGATTGATGTTTGCATTATGTATCAACACGAACTTGTCCAAATTTGCATGCCCACCATTTAGACGAAATCTTTCCTTGTTATTCCAAGGGACCAAGCTATTAACATGGAAACAAAATAAGAGTTTTCTCAAATGACACAAGTTTTCAAACCATAAACTACATATGCTCATGAACTCAATGGCTATACATATGCCTTATTGACTTTACAGATACGCATATACGATATAAATATAATTAACTAATTTGGAATCTCAACTCTTTGGAAATTTAGGACAAAACCTTTGCCGTGGCTTGTGACGTTGAGGTTAGGTTTACATGCATCTAGTTCGACTCCACTAGCACTAGATCCACTCTTTCCAAATGAGACATCTTTTTCATCATGTTCGGCCTTCTCGACATTGACGCTCACCCTTGCAATGTCCTCGATGAGCTTCTTCGTCATGTTCCCAACTATCCACTTGCGAGCCCTCTTTTTCAAAGAAGAAATTGAGAATTATTAATTGTAATACAAATTTGTAACTTGAAACATAAAAAGAACACGATTAAAAATACTTATACTTCATCGAAAACTCCATGAGATAATAGAAATTAAGAGACTTCATAATTCTTGTTCAACTAGCAATTAATAACTACTATCATGCATTAATTCGAGGTGGTTAGCTTTTATTGTATTCATGATTAATCATAGGATAAACTCATTTCCGAATTTTACGTTTTAACTATGTAACACTAGATCGTCTTACGAGAGAGAGAGAGGAAGATTAAGAAACTTAGAGGATCGATACTAGAAGAAATAACAAGAATTAGTGCAATAAGGCCAGAAAGAATTAAATTCTTGGAGAGTGTCATTTTTGAAAATGAGAAATTTGCTTTAACGGTTGGACGATAATTGGAGTGCTAATCTAGTTATTTATATGCCAAAAGTTTGTGCCTAAAATTATCACAAAATCTCCCAAAGTCGACCCCCTTATACATTAGAGGTTCGCGTCTAAATCATTTCTCACACATTCACTACTTTCACTAACTTGGCCATTGAAGTGCACGCAGCCAACTGCACCACTAACGGAGGAGGTCACGTGTGGCTAACGATTTGTCCAAATGTACAGTAACAACAGGCTTACATGGACGCGTAAGAAATTGGGATCTGTTGGTCATGTGGAGATACAAAATTTGAGATCAATAATATCATCTAAGAATCAGATATTGAGTAGTAGTCTGACCTTAGATAGAGAATTAACATGACAACGTTAGCCGAGCTCAATAATTTAGCGGCTGTTTGGAGCAACTTTTCCACCAAAAAAAAAAAAGCAATTTTTTTTACCCTTTTTTGGTCAGCTTAGACCCGATTACCCGTTAGAGTTTTGGTCAACAAAGACGGCTGCAAATGGGTGACCAACGGTCAAAAAAATCACTGAAAATTTCCTCCAAACAGTTACTTAGACTAAGAAGTCCCTGATACAAGGACATTAAAGTGGCAGTCAAACAGCAATTTTCTCGAATTAGGGTTCAATATCTCCATTTCAAAATTTAAAATTATACTTGGGAGTAGTTTTTGAAGAACGAACAATTTTTAGATTGCGTTATAAAAAATTCTACGCTACTAAATTACCAGCGGCTAAGAAAAGTCATTTACTCGATCAAATTCTACAGTTTGAAGGCTTCCAAGTTAATATCATTTTTTCTGGAGATATCATAATCACTGCACTGAAATAATCAATCAATTTTGGGTATAAACTTTAGCTTATAAATAACTAGATTAGCACTGCAATTATCGTGAAACAAATTTCTTATGCTCGAAAATGGCACTCTCCAATAATTTAATTCTTCTAAGCCTTCTCCTTGCTCTAATTCTTACTGTTTCCTCTGGTGTCTCAGCTATCAACCCTCGTGAGTTTCTTGATCTTTTTATTTTTGAAATGAATGCAACTTAATTAAATAATTATATTTCGAAACGATTTTCCAATAATTAATTTTCCAAAAAGGAAAATCTAATTGTCACTTGTTCCTTGGCATTTTGAAGCCTTTTAGGGCCCGTTTGGCAAAGTTTTTTAAAATCTAAAGTTATTTTACTAAGAAGTTACTTTTATACATATCTAAATGAATTAAACCCCCTGCACAAACCTCTTTGCATAGGACCTGTATAGGGGCTCTCACAAATCCACTCTCATGTGTGTGCACCTGTACAGACCCTGTCCAAACGGGTCTGTGCAGGTAGCACAGTTGATATTTAAATAGTTTTCGTTTAGTATTTTGTCTAATTGAAAAAGTTTTAAGAAAAAGTTGACATAAGGTATAATTTGTAGAATGATGGAAATGCATCGTGTACTCATTTTTTATTTCAAAATAATTTCATCTGTGGGTATGATAAAAAACTACAAAACAAAAATTTAGAAACATGATTAGATCAGGTCAAGATCAAGTACTTGTAAATAATCGACCCATCATCATTCTTTCAAGTTACAAATGTTGAGTTTGACCCGTCATAAGTTTTATTATGGGCATTAAATTTCTGATGTACTTTACGATTAAACATTAACCTAAATGTTTACTTTCTATCTAAAAAGGAGGGATTACAAGTGTGTGGCCGGAGACATGGCGGAGAAGGCTACAAGGGACGTTGTAATGGGCCGCACTGCCCACGACGAGGTGGCGGCAAGACCACCGAACTGGATATAAACGACGCGCCTACATTTGAAGATGGTGAAACTAGTATAAATGGAGTCAAATTAGACAGAGTTAAATCTAGACCTCAACAACATAAGCAACAACACTTGCTTTGTCCTAAACCCCCACTTTGTAGGGGTTCCAACTGATTTTATATCAGTAATTTAAAAAAAATAAAATAAAAAATCATGTGTGTCTGTGTAGGGGCGGACCCAAACATTTTTTACTGTGGGGTCAAAAATTAAGAATGTTTGAACGGAACTCAAGCAATACAAGGCAGTGGGCTTTACTCATTGACATTCGAGTGTCTTCTCCTGACCTTGCTTGGTGTCCCAAGTTTCTATCGCATCAAACATCAACACGACTTATAATTGAGTTTTCGAAAAACTAAAGATGAATAAGCATAAAAAAAAAAAAAAAAACATAACTCAATGAATAAATTGGAACAAGAAATTTTCAAAAAATAAAAATAAAAAATCACCCAATAGCTTCCAACTACATGAATAACATGTTTGCCATTGCAACAACCCAATTAGATTTTTCACGTGAAAGAAGAATATTGCCATCGACGATATTCCCAAATGTGTGATATCCAATGAATGCAACACGGAAATAATATATGACGACAACAATATATGCAAATATTTTTGAGGTTAAAACTCAAAGAAGTATTATTTTATGTACAAAATATACAACACAATGGAATTATACAAACAATGTCTCTACACAACTTTTTTTATACTGCCACACCATCTCTCACATACACAATACATTCATCCCATTTTCTCTAACTATTCCCTCAATTCTTTCTTCTCTCTCCATATTTGCATTTCTCTTATCTCACTACCATTCACTCTATATTATATATTGGCAAATTCTCTCCACTCATTGCCCCTCTCAATTTCTCTCACAGAACTTCTTCTCCTTTATCACTCTTTCTCTTTCTCTTTCTCTTTCTCTTTCTCTTTCTCTACTCTTCTCACCCTCTGCATACACTACAGTGGTTGGCTGAGACTCCTATTTATATTCAACATTGTCAGTGGAATTGCCTTCTAGTTTCTTCCAATATGTCAGTGAAAATGGGTTAAATTAGTCTTGCGATTGGCAGTGGAATAGCAGCTTTTCTGAACTTTTCCCAATTGCTTGAAGAAGAAGGTTCAAGAAATGGACTGTACTTTATATTTTTCTCTGGACTAGAGTTGAAGGAATTGTTCCCAACTGCTGAAAAAAATAATAATAAAAATAAAAAATAAAAAATTCTGACCCCACATGACTCTATGTGGGTCCGCCCTTGTATCCGTGACAGAATAAGGCATATTTATTGCCATTGAGTTAATGTAAGCTGAATATTTGTATGTGGTTTTGAATATCTACTGACACTTCTGGTTTTAATTACCATAAAAATAGTGTTATGCAATTAAAATTTCCTTTTCTTGAAAAGAATTTTATGTTTCCTTCCTGTTGTACCAGTAATGAGTCAGATGGGCAAGTAGCCAACTCTACTAGCCCCGCGACTAGTGCGTGTGACAAATCGAGGTAATGGGCAACTCATCCCACTTGACACCCCTAAATTTGGACACGGTGAAATTATTTTGATTCGGTCCAAATTTACATGAATCGATGCTAAGGACGGAAACAAACTTCTATAAACCATAAAATAGGATTAGAATGGTTGAGTTTTTTAATTCATAACATGCATTCCGTTTTTCTATTTTTTCCCTCTTTTTTTTGGGGAGGGGGGGGTTTGGAGGGTGTAAGTTGAATTGTGTAGGAGTGTGTTGAGGACCTAAGTGCACAAATTTTGAGGAAATTAAAGGCGAAAAAGAACATTTGGATCTTCAATGTAAGTTCAGGCATCAAATTCAATAAATAGAGAACAATAAAAGAACAAGTAGATTAAAATCAGAATACAAGCTCAATGCAAGCAAGAAACTGACTGATATGTATGTTCATTACACGGTAAATTCTGCCACAAAACTGCTATATACTGACAAATTTCACTAGATCTTACACTTGTGATTTCTTTTATTACATATTTTTATTAACATCTCATTTATCTAAAATTACAAATTTACTTGCAAAAAATAGAAAAAATGCAGAGTGAGGAGTGAAAAATGAAGAGAGACAAAGAAAGAACAAAAACCCATAAAAAAACATACTTTCTTGGAAGTCAAAAAACCTTCATTTTTTTTTTCTTCTTTTTTTTTTTTAATCTCAAAAAGCATATCTCTGTACGTATAACTTGACAAAGACGGGCTTAAAGTTCCAGCAAACCGACCTGAAAAACACATTCCCATTGTATGCATTTGCTCCTCTTACCTTCTGTAAAATACTCTTGAAACTATAGCTCACTTCAAGATTCTGTATCCTCTTTTTCTACTTGTCGGGTAGATATAGCAGTATCAGAGGCTGCATTGTCCACTAGTGGAGCGGAGGTTGTAGTATCAAAGTCTACGTGATCAATGGTAATATTTGATACTTCAGCCGCAATGCAGCTATCATCTTCTCCACTCAATAATAGTGATGGCGATTCCTTGGGAGGAGCAGTTCCATCATGGGCCAAATAACCATTAAGTGGAAGCACGGGGGATGAACCAGGAATGGAGGCAAAATCCAGGGATGGAGCACCGCTAATTGAAGGTGAAGACGATCCATCAGAAATGGCAGTTGCAGCAGGGGACAGAGTGGCATCGATCGAAGGTTCAGGTGATGCGCTGCGACTAGAAGCAGTAGGTGATGGGGATGACTGCTCGTCCACAGGTTGCTGAAGACTCCAATACATTATACTTGCCGTAAGAGTAAGGATCATCTTTTGGTTTACCTGCCATAAAATCAGCAAATATGATGTCAGGATACTGTATTATCTCAAATTCCACATGATAAGCAGAAGAAATTCAAAGATGACCCCCGACATTTCGACAATCACACAAAAAATAAAAAATAAAAATTATAAGATTTTCTGCTTTGAACTACTGGAATATGCAAAACAGCATGTTGTAAAGAGCTACTGAAACCTATGAAGATACATGTAAAAGCATCATCCATGCATCAAGTATAAAAACATTGTTAGTCACGAACTTATAGCAAAGTTTCATGTTAGTCACCAAACTTTAATTTATTCCAAAATGATTACTGAAGTTTTCTTCTTGTTTTAATGAGGATACTCAATCAAATCCGCTAGTTTCCGATGTGGAGACCCCTTTGGAACAAACATACATGTTTATATCTGATACTTATAAACAAACATACATGTCTATAAACATTCAAACCACATTTTGTAGGACTCAGAAGTACTACCTATCGATTCACCACTCTTTTCTATTTACTTATAATTTATAAACAAAATTTCATAAACATTTCCTAAACATGCTTTTACAGACTCACTTTCCACCCATTATGTAAAATATGTTTGCATTTGCATTTTTTCAGATATATGTAGTGATAGCAGAAGCAAGCACTTAATCATTTCAAAGCATCATGGACTCTCGTGAAGTGGACCGTTCCCTTTGAAACATAGCAAGAACTCGAACAATCTGACCAACCTTGAGAAAATGTCACAGATTGCTGAAATTATATTTCTCACCTCCATGATATCTTCAGGCAACAAGAAGATGGAACAGCCAAGCTTCCTGGCAACGCTGATTATATAAGTAGCATTTAGCTTCTTCTCCTCGTCTAACACACGAATTAAAAAAGTTGAGTCAAATTCCCCATCACAGTACGTGTTAATTCAACAACATAGCCAATACTAAAGCTAAAGTTTTAAAATAAAATAAAAGATAATGCTATTCATTATTAGTAGAGATTATCACACGTGTGGCAGTAGGTCCCTTAATTTATTGTCTAATGCATTAAAATGAATCACAACTCTGTTGGACAATGAAACAGGGGCCTATGCCAGCTAGACCGATGACGATTTCCACTGACGATTGACAGCATTACTTAGAATACAATAAATGAAACAAGAAAAAGCGAAAGCAAGTAAAATATTCTTCAAGCTGAAGATGTTACTGAGGGTAAAGTGTACACGAATATTAGGTTATTTCCACATTGGAATGCATAATTGCAGAAAACCAAAATAAAACTTATTCATTTTCTGGTTGATTGTGAAACTATCCAGTTCAGAAAAGGAGAACAAAGTGTGATGAAAACTATTTTCCAGGCCACTCCACAGCGGTAAAGTGTATTCTTGGATGTTGGCTGAAGTGAAAATAGTCACATTGAACCCTCGAACCCTCGAATATGTTTGAAGCACTCGAAATGATCTTCCAGTTGTGGGATAATATTGGGCCATAACGAGCTTCTTACCATACCGTTCTTGTACTACAATCTAGCAAAGTTTACACTACTCTAGAAGTAAGGACCACCTACAATAATTCTTACATCCCCTGCATATTCACTTCAGATTGAAGTTTTTAGCAATCAATCAGATTTTTTCATTACGATCTGCAGTAGAAAGTTGGACCACCCAACTACAAGGTTCATTTTTTCACAAGAAATTTACAGTTGCAACATACCACTTTCACCCTTGGTAACGAGGTTCCAGTTGACAACTCGTGGCTCAACTGCACTGAGAAGCTCAAGAAAGAATAATCCACTTGAAAGGCTCTTGTCCTACATACACGTTTCAAAACACATTGTCAGAAAACCATTATAAATTATCACGCAAACTGCCATTTCTTCAACCAAATTAGCACATGTCGAGAGAAAAGTGTGCTGATGATAACTTGTCAAGAAGAAGGTGTTTAATCTCAACCTTAAAGCTTTCCATTTGAGATGTTCTGCCTGAATTCTTCACTTTTTTGTTAGCCCATGTCAGTATGTCAGCATCAGAAAACTCCTTTCCTTGGGAACGGGACCTCAAGTTCTTCAGGAGTTGAAGCATATTGAACCTCATCAGCTGCCAAAGGAAAGCTGAAAGAAAAAAGAGGTTAACACGCACAATTACCCAGCAATCATATTTGCGTTTAATTTCATCAAAAGCTAAAATCAGTCTAGGAAGTTAAAATAAGAGGTCTAAACCTCATCACGTACCAAAAGAAAAAGAAATAGGTAAACACCAAAATCAGTTCAGGAAGTAAAGAAAAATAAGGTTCAGAAACTAAAGGAAACAATAAAACAAGAATATTTGAGGTAAAACATGAATAAAATAATGCTAGTGGACTCCTAACTATCACACACATCCTAATGAAGCAAAGAAGCAGAAGGTGAATACCAAGCATTTGATGTGGTATAATTCAAAAGTAAATCAGTTTATCCTCATCCCTTCATGACAAAATCTCCTGAAATTTCTATAATCATATATCGCATGAAAGAAAAAATTGCCCATCTGAACATTTCAATCCCCTGCCTTCATAGGTCCCAAAAGAAAGTTCTATAACTGAACTTGCCACTTTTGTCATTTAATAAAAACGCTGATAATTAGAATTTGACCGAACTAACCTCACATAGCCAGTAGTCTTTAAAATTCAAGTTTATTCAAGAAGAATCAATGTGCATTTCCCTGTTCAATGGGATGACACTACTATATAAATGAAACTCTAAATTAGTCTCAACAGACTATATTTACATTTAACGGGGGATCATTTAGCAGACAATTCCATGTACCAATACAGAACAGGGAAAGAAAGGTCTGAGCCATCTAAGTGCATTATTAGCCCAGCATCTAAATTGGAAGTTCATTTATCGTATCACATACACAGCAATAAATCGTTTTTTCGATTTCAGTAAGCACAACAATGAATTGGATGATACAAGTAACAAATCAATCGCACAGCATTGAAATCCTCCATCAAGACAATGTACAGTAGTCAATAAATATAATAGAAAAATGAAATCAGGTACTCAATGTAGTCATTCACATCCTATCTGTTTTTGAACCTTTTTTTGCTGATTTAGTCTAAAAATTTGATTTATTTCACTTTTATAGTTGTTTGTTTAGCACCAAATAAATGCAGCACAAAATCTTTATTTCCCATTTACTTTGCATTATTTTTATTTAAATAATCGTGATCAATTGGTAAGGCGAGCACATTACCAAGTATGAGTTTCTTATTTCCTTGTACAAAATCATTCCCAGCTACGTTGACAAGGGAAAGCTTCAACTGCTTCCCTATTCCAACCACTTGGTTGCAATTCTCTACTTTTCTGAATGGCATTCTTATAGGAGGTTTGGTTGCCTGCTTCCAGTTAACAGATCCTGGATAAACTTTATCCAGCACTTCCAGAAGAATCCACCTGCAGATGTAATAGGTTTTACAAGCTTTAAGAAACTGGTAATTCTAATATCAGAAGGAGTGAACTCCAAACTGAAAAGACAGTAGGTCTGATTACTCCAAAATTGCTAAAAGAACTTTGTTTTAGTAAATGTAGGGAGCAAAGGACGTAACCAACTTAAACCTTGGAAGTAGGAAGTACTGAAACGGACAAGAGTGTCAGATACAACACAATTGGGATATGCTGTGCAAATTTTTCAAAAATGTAACAACATGACACGTACACAGCACACTGTTTAAAATATGATTTTTATATTTTATATTGTGAAGTAAATTTATTTATTTGTTAATTTAGGTGTGTTGACAATGTATCTCTTGGCATGTCGGCAATGTGTCTTACCTAGAATCGACAATGTGGTGGGGACATGTCTAACTATACAAACAAAAATATAATTTGGACATGTCACCCGGCATTTCTAACACATGTCGATGTCATGTCAAATACCGCATGGTGTGTCGACAATGTGTAGGAGACATGTCGATTTGTACAAAACCAAAAATCTTTTGGACAAGCCACCTAGTGTTTTTGACAAGTGTCAGACATTGACTCGTTGGCGTTGAGAGGGTGTCGGCGCATCCCAGACTTCAACATTTTGCAATTTCGTACTAATGTACAATATTTTCATAGAAATGAAAAACTTACCCATTCTTAACATCCTCAAACAAGTTATTGACATAAGAAGCAATTCCGAGACTGTTGATCCATAGGCGAAAGCATCTCTCTTCTCTAGATATTAGTTCATCATCCGTCATCATCTCTGCAAAAGAGATTTTTTTGTTGTCTGTAGACAAACCATTCCTGGGAAATAAACAGTTCCTTATAACATTTCCAAACACGTGGTTACAAAAATATAAGAGCAAGATCAATTTAAAAGAAAAGCAGATAGATTTTCTGAATAGTTGGTGACTCCTAAAATAAGCTTAGCAGCAGTAGAAATTCTTTCACTGTGCGAGCTACCAATCAGGAGTGCGTTGTTTGTGGTATGTAGGTGTAATTATCTGAAATTTTACTTAGAGCATTCCAAAATAGTATTTAAAAGTATTATGTTGATTGCTAATGACCTTCATCCCAAAATGCTACTGTAAAATAACGGTAGCGGTAAATTTCGAGGTAGGAAATTCTGAAGTCAGATGTGTAGTGCAATGGAATAGTAAAATGGTTGAACATTTCTAAGAGCTTCAGAGGCACACATAGACAGCAGATAAAGAAAGAACACGACTTGCGAAAACAATTGTTACTTAGTGGCGGCAATGAAAGTTCGTCATTATTCCTTTTCTGTCCAACAAAGACATAATTTCATCTCCCAGGTAACATAGCATACAGTAAAAGAATAAACAGCTGTCAAAATAAAATATATCTATTTGCCATAATCAATATAGTTGATTTCTCACCTCTGGTGAAATATCTGCGCAACAAATGCAAGATTTAAATTGGCCGAGCCTTCAACTATATCCTTTGGGGATAGATATCTTTTGCAGTCCATTCGCTCAGCATGATCAAGAACCAAATTAGCCCTTTCAATGGTATCTTTGGCATCTAAGGTGGCAGGGCTGCAGTGCTCTGGCGCAAGTACATTAAGCAGGTAGGCATAAGCCTCTCCATCCTGAAGAACAAAAGCATGTGATGTCAGTGTAAAAATACTAAAATTAGCTATCAATTACAGGGATGAAAAGAACATAAAGCTGTTTACAATACTGGAGTTCTAAGCACAAGGATAGTCTCCCATGATTATGCATTTACAAGAAAAGCAGCAGCCAAACTCTATATGTCAGCCCCATAATTTAAGTTATTACAAATAATTATTCTTGCTCACCCCAAAGATAGCAGAAAAACTTCTAGGCCCTCTTAAGAATTTAGTTTATGTCCTCAGCAAACATATTAAAAATTCTTGCACATTGACACCCAGCCACCCCAAAGCGGAATACAAGATTAAGTTTCAACAAAGAAGTACCTTCACGTCCGAAGAAAAATTTGTTACATTTTTCTTGTAGCCTGCTTTCTTGAGATGGAAATTCATCCATTTCAGCAAGACCTTTTCGGGAGCTAGTCCCATAAGTTCCTCAACATCCTGGAAATATTACAGACGCCAGATTAAGTTGTACATCTTGGGCTGAATTCATACTTATATTTTTTGGTAAGTAAAAAATTGCCATTGTAAATGTATCAAGTTTGAAGGGATATCTTGCCAATTACATTGTTGTCTTCCACCAGTTCTACCAGCTGGGGTGTCTTTCTAAGGTTGAGATCCGCCAGTAGTTGAATCTGAAATGCCGCCAACAAATGCAATAAGAAGTTAAGGGATCAGTAAAGGTCAACCAGTAAACCTAAACTTACTCAACACTGTGCAGTATGCATCACGATATAAAGCAATACTCCTCTTTCTGCCTCTTTTTCTTCTTTCTCTGCTATAGAGAAGTTATAAAATGTAATAAAGACTGAGGGAACTAACCTTTATAATTTGAGAAATTAACCCGAGTAGCAAATGAGGCTGAAAATATTGAAAAGAATATATAAAAATTTGAAAGCCAAATAATATCCATATTATGCACTCTTATTAGCAAATTGGTTCCACTCACTCTTCCTTCAACCAAGTCCTGAGTACCAATGTTGACTACTGTACAGCCAATGGCTTTTGCAGAGTTGAGGCAAAGTGTGTGATTCTCATTTCTTTCCCATGGATTAAGTACCCGTTTGGTGTTAATAGCCCGCTCATCTATTGTCCCCGGTACAGCAACATTGATCAGCTTACTGCATAAGGCCACAGGACATCAAACCATGACTAGGAAAAAAATCAAAATTCAAGTCACGTAAAAATTGAACAACATGAAGCATCTGTGCTTAAATACCAAAGTAGTACTCCATCTTTTGCAAGATCAAAAAGAGCATTTGAAGATGGATCGATTGGAAGGAACTGCTTCAAAAAGGGGTCATCTCTCAGGTAGCTGTTGATATGAGCAACATATGAAGCCTTCTCGGAGTCATTGATAGTGTGAAGAAGGGTGGTTGTGGTGGCCTTGAGAAATGATGACGAGTGTTTTGAATTCCCCACTTTAGCAGTAGATCGACTTTGTAAATCTAAATAAATCTGCTCATGAAAAGCGTCACATAAAATTGTTAGCAAAGCCCATCAAAACAAGTTAACATAAAGTTCCTTCAAAATTGTCATAATTCCTGTCCTCTCCTCTCCACCAAAGTCATAGTACAGCTAGAACCACTCTTCTAAAATATTCATATCTGAACATTGTTTTCATGCATAGGATATAGGAAAATTCACCTTGAGGAAGCTTTCAAAATCAATCTCATTGGTAAAATCAGAATTTGATTCTCCCAATACGCTTCTGATCTCCTCCTCGTCGAGCTTGTCACGGAAAGCCTTTAGTTTCGCCATCAAAGGTGGTAAATCCCTAACTGTAACTTTGCCATTCTGGTTCTTTATGGATATGAACTAAAAACAAAAACAAGAACACACATTTCAAATATCAATTCAGTACAGATGCACATTGGCCACTCGCTTCAATCATTAGATTCAAGAACACCAACACAACAAAGCCCCAAAACAAGTTCCAAAATTCTTATTGCCAGATTCAACAACAGTACAAAAGTCAAAACAAATAACATCAACATGGTTAAACGGAAGTTACTTTGGATTTGAGGCTCTGAAGTTCGACTTGCGTAAACTGGCTCTGAAGCCGTTGATCGGACACAAGAACTCCCACAAAACTAGACATTTCCTCGACGCCCCCTGCGCTTCCAAAATCACGAGGAAAATGATTGAACACACCCCAACAATACGAATTATCAGCAATCCACGACTCTAAATCTTGTCTCCTTCCATGTAGTATATACCCCACACTTCGACATGTCTCCAATTATATCTTCACTTCCTGACAAATATAATCCCAAAAAATTCAATTTTTCAACAACTCATTGACAAAATCCAATACGTCCACATGCAGGAAATATTTTAAGGGCATTTCAAGATTGAATAACTACATAGATTCCTTCAAAAGAAACCGATATTTCGGTAACTGGGTTTTCGCCAAATTACTTAACATCCTTTTATGTGCAATTCACTATTGAATAGGCAATGAAACAGGGCTATATACTTACCTTGAAGAAAATTCGATATTTCCTTTCTTTCTTTTTTATTTTTTTATTTTTTTTTATTTTTGTAAATTAATTTATGGTCTATCAATATACGTACAGAATACATACATGTTTTAGCAATTGCTTCGGCGAAGGGCAAAGAGAAGAAATTTGGGCAGCGGACAGACTATAGAAGAGAACACGAGGCAGTTAAGAGGCGAATGTAGGGAGGCCCATTTCAAAGGCGAGATACCCACGCGCTTTTCTGTGCTGGCAGATTCATACGCGCTCTATTTGCTCAAGAGCTCATCGTAGGGTTGGACAAAACTCCCGAACCGATTCGAACCTAACGGTTCTTCTCAAATTAAATATCTGAACGGGTATTTGAATCAAGAATCGACGGGTACGGTTCGACTCTAGTTCTAGGCCAAGACCCGAAGAACCATATAAGAACCGAATCTCCTTAATTTTTTTAAATTTATTTAATTTAAATAAGTAAAATTATTTTATTTTTTCTAAATAAATTTGTTAACTAATTAATTTAGTTCAAACCACAAAATATGATTTTTCTATTTCTAATTTTCAGTTCAAAATCAATTTAATCAAATTGACCTCAATTTTATCCAAATCTGCTACTATAATGTAGTGTCGTTTTTATTGAACAAAATCGAATTAAAGCTCTACAACATCTCTCTTAATTATTTTGAGCTCGTTATGTTTCTCTTCCTGTGATTTTAATAATCAAATTTATGAAAAATTCAGCAAAGAGGGACGTAAAAGACAAATAAGATTGGACTACGTTATTTTGTAAGAGCTAATATTGAATATATCATTAATTAAATTAATGAAACTTTGTATATATTAAAAAATTTAATTATAATACGGAACCGAATGGAACCGAACCCGAACGGTTCTATAATTAAATTTGGACCCGACGGTTCCACTTACTAAATACCCGAAAATTTCGGGTCGGTTCGATTCTCATTAGAATTGAACCGAATCGGACCATGTCCAGCCCTAGCTCATCGTCCAATTTACGCTTAGGTTATTCTAGATGAGCTAAATTTTTTTACCACAGATTACTCACAATAGAAGAAGGATGGGAACTACATTTGGAATTTTTTTTATTCATGCGAATCCCGCATTCTCGTGAGAGGGATAAACAATTCGATATATTTTTTGGTGTACAAATAGAATTGTTCGGCTATTTATATCGTCATTTGGTAACCAATTTTTCAAAACATTTAGCTAAATATCTCCCATTTTGATGAAAAAAATTCTGCCAAATTGTCATATAATTGTTATGAAAAAATGTCTCTTTTCAAAATTTTAATGAAAATATGTTATCTTTATAAAACAGTGCATTTTGTGTAGTTTTGACCCATGTTTGGTGGTTATTTTTTTTAAAAAATATTGTTTTAAATGGTGATTTTTTGGAGAACGTATAGTTAAAAAGTAGGGAAAATATTGAGTTTACGTATAGAATATTTTACTACATGAACGTTGGTTAAAAATTAGTATGTAGTTTGAGAAAATGGAAAATAAATTGGGCTTAATGAAATGTTGAGAATTACTTTGTTATTTTTTAAATATTGAAAATCAATTTACTATTCAAACAATACGTTCATGACTAACAATGCAAGTTTTTGGAAGAGAAAAGAAAAGGTGAGACAAATTATGGGCTATATTTTCTCATTTGATTATTAATGTTGATGCCATATTGTCACAAAATAACATCTACAAGAATATAAGAAGCAAGGGCTTCTTTTTTTCCTCGTTCAAGATTCAGTGTCAATTCATGTATACGTTAAATAGGCACATGGACACATACGTTAGATGCGCCAATTGTATACGCTCTGATGCTCAAGTTAATAAACGATGTGAATTTTAGTGTGGGATTTCGTGAAGAAATGTGAGAGTCAATTTTTTTATATTTGAATTATAATTACCAATTTGCAATCATCTTTGAAAGACAAAGTATGAGTATTCATAAGCATAAGATATAACTGAGTTTTTTCGAATCGTTGGCACATAGCTTCATTCCACTAACTCTAAAGTCAAGTTTGATGATCTCACATAACAGTCATCATAGGTCGTAATATCCCATACACTATCCTACGCAGATAAAGGAGCATTTGACTACTAATCGACTTCGTAAAGATGTCACATTAATATAGTCACATGTTACAACTTTCACAAGATATTAGTGGTCTAGCCTCAATCGCCTTAGACTCATGAGGCTCATTCGGTGTGGCTAAGGATTGGATCTGCCGTCGATTGCCTTGAAGGAGAAGTGAAAATTTTGCTATGACTTGTGTCACCTTGGAGATGGTCGTCGACAATACCATGAGCTAAGCTATATCATCTATTTATATTGACATCGAAATCTAATTATACTGGAACATTTGTAACACGATTCAAATAGTCTTGCTTTTAACTAGTGAGAGATGGGTGGTGGATTGAAGTGTCTAGGATATATAGTTTCATTTGACATTTTGACCAACTTCTCTTTAGGGTCGAATAAACATTAGACTCGTGAGTTCACCGCATAAAAAAGGACAAGAAGAATGTAATAATTTTCAATAAAACTCGGAAAAGAGCTTACTTGATCAACAACATATGACTTATTTTAAGCTCCTGGTTGACTCTTCCTCCTGAACTTTTCGTTATTATGAACAATCATGAAGTTATTCTATAATTTCTCTATTTGTTTTCTTTAATTATTTTGTTTGGTAGTAAAAGATAGATAATTAGATTGGATTTCTTTTATTCATTTGTCTCCAAAGGGCTGGCCGGCTGGGGAAGATGGACCATATGACATTCTTAAATGGACTACTGCCCTTTTGTAGAATTGAAAAAGAGTAACAATATTTGTAATCTCTCAATGTCAAAAATGTGGTAGTTATTTTATTGTTAATAAGTATCAAATCACTAACCGTCACATATATGTTACGTAGGACAACTGCAATGATGAACGACTGCAAATAGCATTATTCAATTGAAAAATAGAAAATAAAAGCATTAAAAACAAACAGTATTGAAAATGAAAACTTTGTCTAAAGCATCAATTTTTTAGTCTAAATGTTTATTCAACTAGAACGGCTCGCTGACAACCGACCACAAATATTCCTTTTTGAAGGACACTCAAATTCATAATTTATTGCAAATGTTGACTAGATTTCCATTTGGCCCCCATTAAATTTGTTGACATCCGAACTCCGATCTAATAAAAATAGTTCGTTAACCCCACCTCAGTTAAATGTGTGTTCGATCCTTACTTCCAGGTCGGACAATCCCGTCGTTATCTCAGAAAAACATCATGATTACCCCATGTCACATCACCCTATCAATCAAATACATTTGCTACAGGTGACATCATCACCACCCGAAACAACCAATCCTAAGTCCTCAACCTCCAGCCTCTTGTAGGTCATCATTACCTGAGAAAAATATTGACACATGGCCACCGACCTCATCGACCAATCACAAGAGAATCCGACGACCCGAGTTCCGAGCTCGATACTGTTGCTGATTTGACTGATTTGATGTAATGTCGACTGAAACTATGTATAAATAGTTGAAGAGGACTATTGTAAAGGGCAAGTGATTTCATACAACAACTCAATGCATAATTACACTCTCTAAACATATTTTGTGATTTTTTTCCAACAATAAATCGCCCTTTTTTTTTAAAGTTGGCTTAAGATTAGCCTTACTAATTTTGACGTCAACAGTTTGGTGCTAGAAGGAGGGCCCTAGTTGGGAAAAATAGTCTCATTCTCTCCACAAAATCCGAGAGCCATGAGTCGTAGCTCAAGTTCCAGAAATCCATTTCACACCCATGCTCATGAAACGAATGCACCACCAAGTTCTCCACGACAGCAGGACCCTCAAACGACTGCCATGAGGGAAACCTGTACCAGCCATCAACACAACTCCCCGGGAATGCATAAGGCAAATGTATGGGAATCCGAGCTCATTCCACTAGACCCGCGGACCAGGATCGAAAGAGGAGAACCCATCGAAGAACTAGAAGGAGTTCAAGTCTGTGTCAAGGACCCAACAAAGGAGCTCAAAATTTATCGCGAGCTGCAACCATCCACCCGAAACAAAATTATGGCATTCCTTAGACAAAACCTTGATGTCTTCGCCTGGAATCATGGGGACATAAGAGGAATAGACCCTAACATCACATGCCACAAATTACAGATGGATCCTTCAGTTCGGCCAAAACAGCAAAAACGACGATCTCTGAACCCTGAAAGATATGAAGTAATCAACAAGGAGGTGCAAAAACTGTTGCATAACTGTTTCCTCCGTGAGGTCAAATACCCAAAGTGGGTCGCAAATCCGATCCTTGTGAAAAAACACAACGGAGATTGGAGGGTATGCATAGACTTTACCGACCTCAACAAAGTATGCCCAAAATACAGTTTTCCTTTGCCATGAATAGATCAAATGGTGGACGCCACTGCCAGACATGAATTGCTTAGCTTCATGGACGTGTATTTCGGATATAACCAAATACCGATGTACGGCCCAAATCAAGAACATACCTCGTTTGTAACTGACCGAGGTCTTTACTGATACAGAGTAATGTCATTTGGTCTCAAAAACGCTGGTGCGACCTACCAACGACTTGTGAATTCCATGTTTTCCCAACAGATCAGAAAAACAATGGAAGTGTATGTTGATGATATGCTGGTCAAAAGTATCAAGGCCAAGGATCACTGTCAGCACCTGATCGAGATGTTTGATATACTGAGGAAGTATGGAATGAAGTTGAACCCAAGGAAATGTGCTTTCAGAGTCAGCTCTGGAAGATTCCTAGGTTACATTGTGAACAACCGAGGAATCGAGGCAAATCCTGAAAAAATACAAGCTGTCATTCAAATGAAACCTCCAACTACACCTATAGAGGTACAAAGTTTAATCGGAAGGGATTGCCGTCCTCAGCCGGTTTGTCTCCAAGTCTACGGACCGTTGCAAACCCTTCTTTGACACATTACAAGGAGGAAAGAAGTTCGAATGGACCAAAGAATGCCAGGACGCCTTTAACGAGCTAAAGAGACAACTAGCTCAGCCTTCGTTGCTTTCAAAACCTAAGGCCAGCGAAGTCCTAAAGCTTTATTTATCTGTTTCAGAACACGCCATTAGTGTGCTTCTAACCCGAGAAGAGAACGGTGTTCAACACCCAATCTATTACGTAAGCAAGGCGCTTCGAATCCGAGCTCAGACATTCACCTGTAGAGAAACTGGCATTCACCCTGCTGATGGCTGCGCGAAAACTAAGGCCATATTTCTTAGAACACCCCATTGAGGTCCTCACCAACTGTCCATTAAGGCAAACACTACAAAGACCCGACACTTCAGGTTGGATGGTAAAATGGGCAGTCGAGCTCGGACAATCCGACATCAAATACACGCCACGTTCCTCCATCAAGGGCCAAGCACTCGTCGACTTTGTCTCTGAGTTCTGCAACGTACCAATCAAGGAACTATGAGAAGAAACCCCATAGAGACTTTATGTCGACGGTTCATCCACCGAAGAATGATCTAGGGCAGGCGTCGTATTAATCAGCCCTGAACATCACATATTCTCTGAAGCCTTGCCATTTGACTTTAAAGCCTCAAACAATGAGGTGGAGTACGAAGCTCTCATTGTCGGCACAAGGATGGCCTCAGGGTTGGGGATCTCCAACCTGATCATACACAACGACTCTCTACTAGTTGTAAATCAGGTCAACGGTGTATATATGGCGAAAGAAGAAAGAATGGACAACTATCTACAAGTTGTAAGAAAAGAGCTTGAAAGGTTCAACACCACCGAAATCAAGCAAATTCCCCGATCACAGAACGATCACGCCGACGCACTGGTCCGACTAGCTACCAGTGAGGAAATTGAAGAATTCGATAGCATCCCCATGGGAAGAATATCCCTACCGGCTACCGAGCTGGACGAAGTGGTCCATATGATGATAGACCCCAAACCAACCTGGCAGGATGAGATCGTCACTTACCTAAAAATCGGGAAATGTCCCGAAAATTTTGTAGAGGCTAGAAAGCTTCGAATTAGGTTGGCCAGGTGTAAACTCATTGACGATGTATAATATAAATGGGGATATTCTACACCTTTGTTAAGGTGTTTAAACGAAGAAGAAGCTCAGCATGCCCTACAAGACGTTCACGAAGGAATATGTGAAAACCATTCAGGTGGGATCTCACTAGCCCACAAGATCATACGACAAAGATACTTCTGGCTTGCAATAAGACATGATTCCCTTGAATTTGTCAAAAGATGGACAAATGCCAACGCCTCGCCCCCATCATAAACGCTTCACGGCGCGAGTTGAACCTAGTAACAACACCTTGGCCCTTTACGAAATGGGCGGTCGAGCTAATTGGACCTATGCCTGTTGGAAAAGGAGGTGTAAATTTCGCCATCGTTGCAGTTGATTACTTCACCAAATGGGCCGAGGCAGAGCCACTTGCCAAGATCATCGAACAGAAAACAACCGACTCTTTGTGGAAATCAATCATCTGCAGGTTCGGCATATCTCAATCCATTGCTACGGACAATGGAAAATAGTTTGACAACGCACAACTTTCAGATTTTTGTGAAGAGTTCGGCATCAAAATATATTTCTCAACGTCGAACCATCCGCAGGCAAACGGCCAAGTCGAAGCCATTAATAAAATTATTAAGCATACATTGAAAGCAAAACTCGACTTGTTTAAAGGGGGATGGGCCGATGAACTCCCTAGTATGCTATGGTCTTATCGCACCACTGCAAGGACTAGCACAGGAGAAACACCGTTCTTACTGGCTTTCGGTGTAGAGGCTGTGATCCCACTAGAAGTCAGCATTCCCTCGCTAAGCATAACTGATTACGACGAAGAAAGAAACCACATGGCTCTTCGTACGGAACTCGACCTAACCGAGGAGAAAAGGAACAATGCCGAACTTAAAAATGCAGTTTACAAGCAGCAGAACGCCAAGTACTACAATCAAAAAGTCCAAAAAAGAGAATTCGAAGTAGGATCCCTCGTATTACAGAAGTATTCTTCCCCACAAGAGAGGTAGGCAGTGGATGCCTGGGCCCGAATTGGGAGGGCCCTTATCTGATAACGAAGGTCCTGCTAAAAGGGGGATATGAGCTGGAAGACTAGGAGGGTAGACCCTTACCCCATCCTTGGAATGCCGAACACCTCAAGCAGTATTATCAATGAACGGGAAAAGTTCGTGACATATAAAACCCATTTGTAATGCCAATCACACCAATGAAAAGGGATATTCCTCCTAAGGAATCTTACAAAACCCTGCTCCATACGTAGGCCGATCTAAGGTCGTAAGTGCTGCGACCCTTAGTGAACATTCTTCCTAAAGAATCTTACAAAGCCCTGATCCATACGCAGGCCGATCTAAGGTTGTACGTGGTACCCTTAGTGGACATTCCTCCTGAGAAATCTTACAAAGCCCTGCTACATATGTAGGCCGATCTAAGGTTGTACATGTTACCCTTAGTTGACATTTCTCCTAAATTCTCTTACAAAACCCTGCTACATACGCAGGCCGATTTAAGGCTGTATGTGTTACCCTTAGTGGACATTCCTCCTAAGGAATCTTACAAAGCCCTGCTCTATACGCAGGCCGATCTAAGGTTGTACATGTTACCCTTAGTTGACATTTCTCCTAAATTCTCTTACAAAACCCTGCTACATACGCAGGCCGATTTAAGGCTGTATGTGTTACCCTTAGTGGACATTCCTCCTAAGGAATCTTACAAAGCCCTGCTCTATACGCAGGCCGATCTAAGGTCGTAAGTGCTGCGACCCTTAGTGGACATTCCTCCTAAAGAATCTTATAAAGTCTTGCTACATATGCAGGCCGATCTAAGGCTGTACGTGTTACCCTTAGTGGACATTCCTCATAAAAAATCTTACAAAGCCCTGCTATATACGCAGGCCGATCTAAGGCTATACGTGTTACCTTTAGTGGACATTCCTCCTAAGGAATCTTACAAAACCCTGATCCATACGTAGGCCGATCTAAGGTTGTAAGTGCTGCGACTCTTAGTGAACATTCCTCTTAAGGAATCTTACAAAGCCCTACTACTTACACAAACCGATCTAAGGCTGTACATGTTACCCTTAGTGGACATTCCTCCTAAGGAATCTTACAAAGCCCTGTTACATACGCAGGCCGATCTAAGGTTGTAAATGCTACGACCTTTAGCAGAAATTTCTATTTGAGAATTCTACGAAGCCCAGCAGCATGTGCAAGCTAATCTTGGTTCGCATGACTTACGAGTTCTGTCACGTACGTTGACTAGAAGACATTCCATCATTAAAAATTCACGAAAGGATGAAATAAGCAATAAAATTTAGACCCGACAAAAAAAGAAAACATGCACTTTCATAAGCATTCAAAATAGAGTACGGCTCATCTTCTTGCACAAACAAGATATCCATAAAGTTTAACAAATTCATCACAAATCCAAAAAATGTCCTAAGAAGAGCTAGGGGGAGGGAGGTCTTCGAGAGGAGCGACATCATCTTCATCAGCAGGAGAAATTCGAACCCCCGCCGCTTCCAACAAACGCTGAAGCTCTTCCTTCTGCTCTTCTACAGCGTCCTCAAGGAAACCCACGTTGAACCCTGACCTCTCTCTGCGAATGTGTTTTACTACTTCCTCCAGAGCCACGACGTAAGCATCCTGAGCAAGAGTATCAAACTCGGAGAACGACCTCCAAGTCTCCACTGCCCTCGTAACCCTAGATTCAGCCTCCTTAGCTCTAGGCATCACCTCTCTTGCTCTCTCATTTGCCTCCCGTACCTTCTCGACAGCCTCCTCAGTTCGAACTCTCACTTCCTCAATCTTCTTTTTCTCAAATTCTCAGCCCTATGACCGGCCTCCTCCCTCAGAGATCTAATCTCCCCCATCCACTTCTCCTCCATCTCCAGCCTCGAGTTCAGCTCCTCGTGTTGAGCTCTCTCAGCCTCCATGCTGTTATACATACTCAAGGCCTGATCCTTGGCCTCCATCAGTTTATCGAGCTCATATTTCACCTACATTAAAATCCATAAGTTAAGCACCTCACAATATGTAAATCATCAAATAAAATGAAGTAAGGAAAATACCTTATTAGTTACGACCGTCATGTACAGGATAGAGCAATGGCCGTGGAGTTGAGCAGTCACTAGGACCTCGCCTATGGGCATCTCAATAAGGAAGCCTTGTTCCCTTTCACCCCAACTCCTGGTAAGCAGGTTTGCAGAATCACGCAGAGGTGGGGAAAGTGCAGCAGTAACCTCCCTCGATGGAGATGGAGCTCGCAAGTAATCCAGGAAGATCTCTGGATGTTGGCCTAGCAGACTGTCCAGTGATGGCCTGATGTGATCCTGGAAATGTCTCAAACGAGCAAGGAATTGAAGTCAGTTGATAGCCA